ATTTGGGAGGTAACTCCTTGTCATGGGGGCTGGTCTAGCACACTGGTGCAAACACTCCTCCAAAACTGCCAAAAATGTCCCCAAAGGTGCAGCTGGCCCCCAGTGAAGGGCCACTGAAAGCTGCTCCTGGGGGAGGATGGTGACAGGTCACAGAGGAGAAGGAAAGGTGGAGAAGTCCAAGAGCTCCCCTGAGGGCACGGGCAGGGTCTGAACCCAGAATGAGGCGTGACCCCTGCAGTTGTCCCTACCAGGGAATGCAAGTGGGGCTGCTCCCCACTGCTGTCCCACTGCGTCCTCCCCTGCCCACTCATAGGTCCACGGAAGCAGTGGGAATCATCGCCTGTAGCTGCAACCCCTTTTCTGACTTCCCGAGTGGCCAAAGGAAACAGGGCAAAATGTCTGCCCTGGGGGGACCACCTGCCCTCCCCAAAGTCAAAATAAAAGTGAGCTGAAACAGGGTTTACCAGTTACCTCTGACAAGGCAACTGCAATTCCATGTTTATGAACAGGGTCTCACTTTTAACCTGGTTTTGCTGTCATGAATCACTTGGGAATACTGATTCTGCACCTGTCAGTCTTGCTGGATCAAACAAAGCCCCTGCCTCCAAGAGTGACAAGCTGCTGGGGCCAGAAGAAAGTAGCTGCAGGAGGGCTTGGGTTGCAGGAGGTGGGAGACAGTGGGGAAAGTCCAGGCCTGGCTGAGTGCGTCTCCTCCCCTTCCATCTGCTGGTTTGCTCACCACAGGGCTGCAACAGCCATGGCTGGAACAGGCTGACGTCAGGAGTCCAGGTCTTCCACGGGGGTGGCAAGGGAGCCAAACACTTATACCATCTCCTGCTGCTTTCCCAGGCTCGTTAGCAGGGAGCTGGATCAGAGTAGAGCAGCTGGGACTTCAGCCAGCATGAGAATGTGGCATGCCAGTGGTCGCAAGAATAAGCTCAGCCCACTATGCCACAATGCCAGCCCCGTAGGGGTGGTGCTTGATGGGGACGACAGGTCAAGGGTGGTCCCTGGCAGGGCCCAACAGCTCTCCCTAAGCCTAGTGCTCGGCTGACTCTGGCCTCATCAGAACCAGAACATAGGGCGGAGGGTGTGGACAGATGGGATAGTAGGGTAGGGGGGTGAGGTCCAGCTGTGGAGCTAACCTGGGACTGGAGCTGTGCCAAGTGTCTGCATCCCCTGTATCTTCATTGCAAGGTGTGAGAGAGATTGTGCCAGACAAGTCTAGGGTGGATTAAGGAGTCTTTGTTAACCAAGCATGATGATAACAGAGCCCACTAGAAATTAGCAAATGGCAAGTCCAGTGGCAACCCAGTCTGAATTAAAACCCTGAGAGGAACAAATGGTCATTACCATGAAACCAGTCCATTCAACTGAAGACCTATGTTACAGCTTCCCCAGCAATATAAATTATCCTAAGAGACATGCAGCAAACAACCTAGAAACACTTAGAAATCTGCATTCACCTTTTCCTGGCTTCTCTGTCCATATTCCATTACTGCTAGGCCTCACCTCTCCTGGAACTCCTGAAAGTACATAAATTAGAAATACAAAGCATCTTAGTATTAGCATCTTCAGTCCTGCCCAAGCAATGAGTAGAGGGTAAGGAATACAGACACACAGGGTCCGTGTTCGGGGCCACCTGTCCTCAGAATCTGTCCACAGGAAGCCAGAGAGCAAGCAGGTACTAGGGAAGCTTGCAACCAAGAGAGTGAGCCCCTCCCAATCATGGGGCCTTTATGGGAGCTTGCAAGGGAAGTGGTTATGCAAAAACACAGTACTGTTCCTCTCAGGTTCCAGGTGATGATAGGTGAGCATCACAGGTGGGCAGAAGAGACCACCTGGGAGGGTGGGGCAAGTGGCTTCTGAGCTGGTGACCCTGAACTAGCTGCCTAGGACTATAACAGTCTCCTGGTGGTCCCAGCTTCCCTCCAGTGCAGGAGATGCTGCCATGGCCTTGGGAGATTCTTGTTCTGCCTGCTTCAGTGACCGGGGGCTCAGAGTGTGCTGGGACTTGGCACTCTTGGGTGTCAGTGCTCTGGAGCTAGCAGTCAACAGGAAGTGAGTCCCCAGGTGGGAGGGGGCCGTGAAGTCCCCAGACAGGAAGCGAGTGTCAGTGCGGGGTAGGGGGCTGCCTTGAGCAACTCTGTGGGGTTCAGAACCCATGGGACCCACACCTGCCTCCCTGGTAATGCTGTGTCCTGGGATTGGGATGCTTACCCAGCTGGACCCTGGAAGGTGACTGCTAAGGCATGGATGTGTCCCCCCTCCCTCCAGGCCACCTGTGCTGTGCAGCTTACAAGGTGGCAGGGAGGAGCACTGGGCCTGAGGTGCCCTGCTTGCCTTAAAGATGAGACTTGTTTCACTGCCACCCCTGCCTCTGGCCTTCTGGCTGTGCTAAGCCTCCGTGTAGGCTTTCTGCCTCCCACCCCACTCCCTCTTCTCTTGATGCAGCTCTTGCCCCAGTGGTCAAGAAGGGTCCATGTTTTTAGCATCCCCCAGAGTTGAGCTGCCCCATGCAGCCTGCCTGGTGTGGTTGCTTCCGCTCTCTCAGGCTGTTTCCTGGGCCCAGGTGCCTTGGCAAGGAGGAAGGCAGACCTGGGAGGCCCGTGGTTCTGCTCCGAGCTTTGTCTAAGGTCCTGGTCCCTACTTGCCACCTCTGGGTGCTCCTTGCCAGATCACAAAGGGGACTCAGTTCTAGAACCCCCCCAAGTGAAAGCAGCCTTGGAGATCAGGCCATGCAGGAGAGCAGCCCCACTCTCTGAGGCTGTGCACTTGGGTGGCATGACTTTCTGGAGAGAACCAGGCAGTATCTCCTCATACTTAAACAGGCGGGCAATTTAGACTGGCCAGTGCATACCTGGTACTCTGACCTGCAGAAGCACACAGGTGCATGTAGTCATGGAAGCAAGGTGTTCCCTACTACAAAAAGCACATCAGCCTGAATGAAGGCCCAGTGGCAGGGAGCCATCTGTACCCCGCAGATCCCCCACGAGTCAGGCCTTCATGCCCAGATGTGGAGCGATGTCCACCTGGCCTGCCCAGTGACAGGGCAAGCAGAGTGTCATGAGCCATGCAGGCCCATTCAGGAAACATGTTTTGGATCTGAGGTGTGTGTTGTGTGTATACATGTAACTTGCCCATGGTTATATCTTTTTTTTTTTTTAAGATTTATTTATTTACTGGAAAGTCAGATTTACAGAGGAGGAGAGACAGAGAGGAAGATCTTCCATCCGATGTTTCAATCCCCAAGCGAGCGCAACGGCTGATGCTATGACGATCCAAAGCCAGGATCCAGGAACTTCTTCCATGTATCTCACATGGGTGCAGGGTCCCAAGGCTTTGGGCCATCCTCGACTGCTTTCCCAGGCCACAAGCAGGGAGCTAGATGGGAAGTGGAGCTGCCGGAATTAGAACCGGTGCCCATATGGGATCCCGGGGCGTTCAAGGTGAGGACTTTAACTGCTAGGCCACACCGCCAGGCCCGCCCATGGTTATATCTTACCAGCATTGTGAAATAGGGGCGTTAAACCACTGCCTGCGATGCTGGTATCCCATATGAGTGCCGGTCCAAGTCCCAGCTACTCTACTTCCCATCCAACTCCCTACTAATGCACTTGGGAAAGTAATGGAAAATGGCCCAAGTATTTGGCCCCTGCACCTACATGGGAGACCCAGACTCCTTGCTTTGCCCTGGCACAGCCCCGGCCATTGCAGCTGTTTGGGAAGTAAATCAGTAGATGAAAGACCTCTTTGTTTTTGTCTCTCCTTCTCTCTTGTAACTCTTTCAAAAAAGCAAACCAAAACAAAAAACTCTGAAACTCCATGGTCTAGCCTGGCCATCTACCCTGGCAATGGGGACACCAAAGCTGTGTGTAAGTGTGTGCCTCACCTGACATTTGCTTAGCCAATCCTGGTCAGGCATTCTGCAAAGTGAATGAGCAGGCCAGGAGCATTGAGTGCCCTTGGTGTCCAGGGGGTGGCAGAATGCCAAAGGCAGGAACTCTTGCCTTTTCCTGCTCCAAGCTGGACACCTCCATTCTTCCCAAGATGTCCTGGCCACTTGGATCTAGGGGGCCAAGGACAGGGTACACACAGACAGCACAGCACAAAGGGCACCAGTAATCCTGCATGCCCTCTGTCCTTGCAAAGCCATGCAAAGATTGATTTATTTGCATTGGAAAGCCAGATTTATAGAGAAAAGGAAGGACAGAAAGAGAAAGATCTTGGATCTGCTGATTCACTCCCCAAATGGCCACAATTTCTGGATCTGAGCCAATCTAAAGCCCTGAGCCAGAAGTTTCTTCCAGGTCTTGCATGAGGGAGCAAGGTCCCAAGTTTTTGGGTCATCCTCAACTGCTTTCCCAGACCTCAGGCAGGGAGTTATATGGGAAATGGAATATCCGAAACACAAACCAGTGCCCATATGGGATTCTGACACTTGTAAAGTGGAGTATTAACCAGTTGAACCACTGTACCGGCCCCTGGGCTCATCCTTGGTTTTTCTGTTAGCTTAGCCAACTCGGTTTTCAGGCTCCAGGGTGAAGGCATGCATGTCCTTTTGGGAGGTGTTGCTATAGACTGTGTGTTGCTAATGAGCTGGAGCTTTTGTCTTTTGGGGGTGAGATCCAAGCAGGGGAGGAGAGGGGCCGTGGAAGGCTGTGGGCGTCTTTGGTACCCAGAGACCAGGAAGGTTTGGAGCACAGAAACCTGGCCACCCCAGGATTCCCAGAAGTGACCTGGGAACGTCCCTTGTCTTCTCCTGTCTCTTACTGAAGCCCACACACACCTTGGTGTCAAAGGCTCAGGCTGACCCTGAACGTGAATCCTCGGGTGCTGTGTGCAGAATCACAGCACAGCTCTCTGGCCAGCAACAAGCAGTGCCTCATCACTTTCATTGGCTTTGCAGAGTGGAGGGGGGTATAAGGGAATGGGTGTCAGGATCCAGGAGGGAACTCTGACCATGGCCCTAACCCTCCCCTGTCTCCTTCCTCTCCCAGGTGGAAAGCAGCGACACGCCCAAGGACTCTGCGGCCACCTCCAAGTCCCCATCCGTGGCCCAGGACTCAGGCCCTTCCGAGCTGTTACCCAATGGGGACTTGGAGAAGCGGAGTGAGCCCCAGCCGGAGGAGGGCAGCCCTGCTGGGGCGCAGAAGGGCGGGGCCCCTGCTGAAGGACAGGGTGCCGCCGAGGCCCCACCTGAAGCCTCCAGAGCGGTGGAGAATGGCTGCTGCACTCCGAAGGAGGGCCGAGGAGCCCCTACAGAAGGTGAGTGCCCGGCCCAATGGGCAGCCTCCTGTGGGCGCTCTGGATTTTCTGACGACCGGACTGCTCAGCAAGGCTGTGGTCCAGATTCCTGGCTGAATACAGTCAATACACATGGTTTACTTGGCTCACAGAGCCTGTCAAATATTTTAAAAATTAGCTGCCAATATTTAAAAATCAAGAAATTTCCCATAAAATCTGGAGTTCTGGCATCTTATACACAGAGGGGAAAAAAAAAAGCTAGATCTGGCAAAGGCAGGTTTGCATGATGCCAATGGTTGCTAGGCTGGGTTATTGGCCACCTTCCCCAACGCCCCCTCCCTGCTTGCCTTGGTTGATTATGTGCCTCAGTTTGCCTCCGCTCTCGCCTGGGCCTCCACCTGCTCTTCCACATGACCTGTAGCTCCTGGTGCCCAGCAGGTTAGGCAGCTTCTGAACAGGGCATGTTGGGCAGCATGTGTCCTGATGCTGCCATGGTTTGGATGAAATTTGGCTGTGACTGGGTGAGGCACATAGGATTGGTGGTAGAAGCAGGGGTAGGCCTGGGGAGGGGTGGCCTGTGAACCAACCACCCAGCCGAGGCCTCTTCATCAGGGACTTTCTGGCCTGGCCCCGGCATCCTGGCACAGTGCCCACAGTTGTCTTTCAGGTTAAGCCAGCAATTTCAGGGCCAACTGAGCTGTAAACATGTCAGTTAATGAGGACAACTAGCGTTTGCACAGGGCTTCGCAGTTTACACAGCGCTTCCTCGCATGCACGTTCTCACCTCAGGATCCTCCCGGGGTCCTGCCAGGTTGCTTTGCATATGTGCATTTTAATTTCAAAAAGCCTTGCTTCCAAGCCTGGGTTCATGATGGAATGAGGAAATTGATCAATTGGCGGTTCTTATTTTTTGCGTGGATCCAAACCTGGTGACGTCTGCAGTACAGACTATTTTCAGCAAAGAGATTGACATCTAAATGTGATGTCAAATCTTTATTATCTGCCCAGTAGTGCAGCCCCCACTGGGTGCCAGGATCTTCTTATACTGCTTGCAGTAGTTGTTTTATTTACTGCCCCAGAAGGTGCCGTTATCCCAATCTGAAGGGAAATAACACGGAGATTTTCCAAGGCAAAGTGACTTGTTCACGGGCCCCAAGCCCCTACAGGGTACACCTGGGGTCCCCCAAATCTTGGACTTGTGCCTCCCAGCCTCCTCTGGTGTTCTGGGTGAGCAAAAACCCTCCAGGAAGTCTTTTTGACACTGCTGTGTGGCCCCAGTGCTCCAGGAAGAATTCCTCTGCTGGGTCAGAGCTGGTGGGAATGCCCCCAAAAGCTCAGCTGGGGGTTGGGCAGGGGCCTATGGGAGACTGCCAGGGCCTGCTCCTCGCTGGGCGGTCAGCTGACACAAACACATGCCCAGCTGGCTGGTTCTGATGCGGAAGGATGCTAAGGCCCCAGAGGAAGTAATGTGGCTGCCTTCTCCTTTCAGTTCCCCTCATTCCACTATTCTCCTCCCTCTCTCAATAACTCCAAAACAGTAAAAGTGGAGGGGCCTGTGGCCCGCACACCATCCTGTGTGCATGCAGGGGCCCCAGTTCCGGCCAACACTGCCAGGACAATCAGGAGGAGGAGGAGGGGAGACAGTGAGATGAGCAGTATATACAGCAGCCAACCCTGGTCTGGCAGGTGGTTGCCTGGGGACTGCTCCTGCGCTGACCTTAGCACTGGGCTAGTGATAGAGTGGCCATGGTAACGAGGCTCGCATCCCTGCTACCATTCTCAGTGTTTGCCACTCACGTGGTCTGTGAGCCAGGGGACCGGAATCCAGAGTCTCAGGCCCCACCAGGACCTGCTGAATCAGAACAACACTCAAATAAAAGAGCCTGTGTCTATTCAAGTCTGCAAAACCCTTCTGATCCTGGGAGGAAGACTTACGAAGACTTATGGGCCCCATTTCCCAGACAGGAACCCCGAGCTTATTCCACTAGGAAAGAACCAGGTTAGGGTCAGCACAGACCTCCTGGACTAGCAGCTGCCTGTGCTCTGTCCCCAGATCAGGGGTTATTTAGGAAGATGCTAGGCCCCTGGCCAACAAGGAGGGAGGCCCTTAACCTCCCCCCAGGGTCACATTCGGTCTGTCAGGACCATCCTGGAGGGCCCCTGGGGCTGGCCCAGCAGCAGATGGACTGCAGTGAGGAGGTGCTGCAACCGCAGCTGGCCCTTCCAGGCTCAAGCCAGCCGGAGGCAGCCAGGGGACGGTGTGAGCCAGCCAGGAGAGTGTGCGCTTGCGCAAACGTGCTCCCTCTGGGCAGGCGCAGTCTGTGTGGGGGGGGAGAAAATTCCAGAAAGAAGTCAGAACGTGCCTAAGGAAAATTCGTTCTGTTTGGGGGCACATGGGGCTGTGGAATCCGGAAAGAGAAGGTGGGGCAGTGGAGAGGACCCTGGCACGCTGGTCCAGAGCCCTGAACTGTGGGTCTCACTCCCCTCCTCAGGCCTCAAGTCCCACATCTGCCATCCTGAGGTAACTGGGTCAGTATTCCGTCATCCGTTCAGTTGCTCGCAGCCCTGACTTCCTTTCCTTCTCGTGAATAAATGGTTCCGCCTAAATGTCCTGTGCCAGAGCCGGCAGGGTCCAGGTGGGAAACCAACGAGGTCAGAAGGAGGCTGGGGACGCAGCCTCGGGTGCCCCCCCAGTGCCGCCCAGCCCCAGCAGTTCCGGGTTGCGCCATGGCCTCGGCCCCGGGGCCGGCGCCCCCTCCCGGCAGCCCAGCGCCCCCTCCCGGCAGCCCAGCGCCCCCTCCCGGCAGCCCAGCGCCTTGCCGGCCTTAGGGGGAGCCACGGGGGGCGCCGAGCCCCGAGAAAGCTCGGGGAGCCCACTGCAACCGGAAGCGGGGAGACGAGATGGAGACAGGGCCGAGGGCTGAGGGAGAGAGATAAGGCTTCACGGGCCGGCCACGGCCGCCCACACGCGTGTCCGTGGCAGACACGTACTTCCGCGCTCGCCACGGCTGGACCCCCAGGCCCCAGCCCTTCCTGTCTTCCCTTCCTCAGACCGCGGCGCGCCCTGGGCTGTCGTCTTCATCTTGGGGAGGGGCTTGAGAGAGCATCCCCACCCCCACCCCCACCCCCACCCCCACCCCGCTGGTTTCCGGCCCCAGGCCAGGAGGTGAAAGTTGGGGGGCTGTCTGCTACCACCCCCATCGCAGGCTACCCAGAGCCGGCGCCAACAGTGTCCTCGCTGCTCCTGCTCCAGGTCCGCGTTGCGCTGCGTCTCGGCATGAGAGAAAGGAGCAGTCTAGGGCCAGGAAAGGACTTGTCAGCCAGCAGGCAGCCATGAGGCTGGCGGCTGTGGGCACTGGGGGTCCAGGGCCTGCAGGGGGCGTGTGAGGGCTGCCGGCCAGGGCCGAGTGTGCTGGAGAAGCTGGGCGCTTTCTTCCTCAAGTGTCCCCAAGTGAGGAACTGTGGGAAGGGAAGCCCAGGGAGACGGCCCCACCTCCCCCCGCCATGTATTACATATTAAACACCTACTGTATGCCCAGCCCTGTTCTGGCACTTCCTGTGTGTGTGATTGCCTAACTGGTTGTGGAACCTTAATCCACTTAATGAGAAACAGGTGTGGGGGCGGGGGTCCGGAGGCCACTGGCATAACCTGTGTCTTCCAGGTGGAAGGCTGAATGCAGAAAACTGGCATGGGAAGGAGGAAAAGAGGCAGTAGAGCTGAAATATCTAGAACCTTTGAGAGGCCAAGAAAGAGAGACCTGTAGAACTGGGTTGATGCACCAGTGGGCCCCAGTCCATCGTCAGGCGCCTCAGGGCTGGGAGGACATGGCACAGGCCAGGCTCCCTTGAGCCCAGCCCTTCCAGTGGCCCTCCTGCTGCTTGCTCTGGGAAGGGCACTCAGGTGACCTGGAGCCACAGATGGAGACAGTTGAGTTCCTTCTGTGTCCCTGGAGTGCTCAGGGGGCTGAAAGCCACAGCCCTGACTGCCATATTCTTTCTGCTCAGACCCGTGTGCTCCGTCTGCTCCAGGCCTGGCTGAGTCCTTGGGGGCCATCATGCAGGACCCCAGAACAAGTCACGGTGGGGACAGGGACCCCAGCCACATGCAGGGTTGGGGGTGGAAGGCTCCAAGCCGCTCCTGTGACTCTGCCGACACCCTGTTTGTTCTTCCCTCTCCACAGGCAAAGAACAGAAGGAGACCAATGTGGAATCCATGAAAATGGAGGCAAGTGTTTTCTTCACCCCTGGGAGCTCTGGGGAAAGATTCTCAAAGCTGCTGCTAGGCCCCAGCTCTCAGGGAGGGACAGGTGGGGAATGGGCTGGAGACCAGATGTCCCCCCACAAGAAGGCAGCTGGCACACCCCTGCTGCACCCCAGCACCTCCCCTCGTGGTCAGGGCCCCCAGCTGCCCACATACCCCTGGCCTCTCTCTCTGGCCAGCAGCAGGCACTGTGGGTGACAACATGGGTGTCCCCCTCAGAGTCCCTGCAGGAGGAGCAAACCCTGGTGCGGGCCTGGCAGTGCCCACTGTAATGCCCGTCTGTGTGTTGTCTCTGCCCTAGGGCTCCCGGGGCCGACTGCGGGGTGGCCTGGGCTGGGAGTCCAGCCTACGCCAGCGGCCCATGCCGCGGCTCACCTTCCAGGCGGGCGATCCCTACTACATCAGCAAGCGGAAGCGGGACGAGTGGCTGGCACGCTGGAAAAGGGAGGTGAGGCACCCTCTGTGTTGGGCCTCCGCTGCCCTGCAGAGCTGGGAAACCAGACCCCTGGCTTCAGCCACCTTCTGTCAGTGCTGTCAGGCCCTGGCTGGGCCTCAGTACCCCCTTTGGAGCTGCCTGGTCCACTGCAGGCAGTGATGGGTTCATTCAGTGTCTGCTGCGGTGTGCAAGTGCGTTTGCATGTGTGCCTACTGACTTTGGGGGGGTCACATTCCAACACGGGAAACCTACTTTCCACAGGGTGGTCAAGAGGGGCTTCTTGGAGGAGGTGGTATCTGAAGTCTAGAGGCTGCAGAGCTGACTGTGTGAGGGGGACATATGTCGAATGAGAGAATGTTGTAGGCAGAGGAAACCCAGCAAGCAGGATCTGGCTCCTTTGACAGATGCATGCCCAGGGTGAAGGAGGAACAGGCTGGGCCTACCAGAGGCTGGTTTAGTTCTGAGTGTCCCAGGAAGCCATGGCAGGTTTGTGGGTGGGGGACACTGCACACAGACTCAGGCGGAAGTAGCAGGGAAGACAGCTGTCGGGTGCAGGTGGAAATAATAGGGCTCCTGGTGGATTAGAGATGGGCAGGGGTCTGGCCGGAAGTGGAGCTGCACCAGTGAGTGTTGTTTGCAAGTGTTAACTTAGCCCATAGCACCAGCCCCTCCAGCCCGATTTGATAAGCTGCTTTTGCCTGGACGGGGTTGGTAGAGAAACTTCAAGGAGAGACAGGTGGAGCTTCACCTGCAGCCTGATGGGAGAGGAGATGCTGCAGGCAGGGCCGTCCACTGGACCCCAGGCCTCTGCTGTGCTGTGTGGGAGCAAGCAAGTGAACGAGCTGCTCCAGAACGCGGCTCTGGCAGGGTCTTGGTCTCCAGTCCCTGGGGCTCCTAGAAAGCAGAAGGCCTTTCCCAGAGGTGCTGGGGGAGGGGTGGCCCGTCCAAGGTCCTGGAGGAGAGGCACCCTGCTGTGGGCTTGAGTGTGGCTTTAGGGTGGAGTTCTGGGAGCTGGGGCTCTTCCCTCTGGGATTTGGGCTCTGCCTTTTAAGTCCTCATCTGTGCAGGCTCTCTCACTTGCTCCTGGGCCAGGGGGATGTCTGGGTGGGCAGATTTTGGGCAGGAAGGTTGGCACGGCTATCCCATGTCCCTCAGACTGTACTCTTGACAAGCAGTGACGTGGAGGCCGCCCTTCAAATTCTCTGCTCCCAGGAGCAGCCCAGATGACAAATCTGTGTCCTCTGCATCACGCTTTCTCCTGAAATCTAAGGACGGTTTTCTTGTTGACAGCTGCACATACCCAACCCCAGCTTCTGCCCTCCTGGACCCTGAACTATAGTGTTGCAGGTGCACATGATTGGCAGTGTGGAGGCGTCTGAGCAAAACAGGGTTTGCTGTGCCCGGTGGCAGATGTCTGTGAGTGAATCCACAGCGCCCAACACTAGCGGTGCAGCTGCGTGGTGGTCTCTAGACTCAGAGCAGGGCTGGGCGGGGGGGCAGTCTGAGGAGTCCTAACACAGCATGTCAGCAATGGAGATGTTGTGTTGCTGGACAGACCCTACCCCATCTGCCATTCTCCCTTTGTGGGCTGTGCTTGGTGGGGTGGGGTTGAGGGTGCCATAGAGTAGGGCAGCAAGCCCTCCAGGGCCCTGGGCTGAGGAGTAGTGACAGACAGGCTGTCTTCAGTGGATAAGGAAGGGTGCAAACATCCACCCTGATTCTTAGTCTCTATACACCCCACCCCTGCCCCTGACAGCCCCTCTGCGGCAGCCCTGGTCTGTCCGGGTGGGGTCTCAGATGTCCCACTGCACCCCACTGTCCTGTTCACCTCCCCTGCCGGGCAGCCAGGCTTCATCACACAGGCAGTGTCACCTGCAGCTAGCAGGTGCAGTGCAGGTTGCAGTGCCTGCCCTTCATAGCTGTCTGGCAGGATGTCTTTTTTTTTTTTTTTTAAAGATTTATTTTTATTATTTTTTCATTGGAAAGGCAGATATACAGAGAGGAGAGACAGAGAGGAAGATCTTCCGTCCAATGATTCACTCCCCAAGTGAGCGCAACGGGCCAATACTATGCCGATCCAAAGCCAGGAGCCTCTTCCGGGTCTCCTGCGCGGGTGCAGGTTCCCAAAGCTTTGGGCTGTCCTCAACTGCTTTCCCAGGCCACAGGCAGGGAGCTGGAAGGGAAGCGGGGCTGTCGGGATTAGAACCGGCGCCCATTAACCTCTTGCGCCACCGCGCCGGGCCCATGGCAGAATGTCTTGAATGAGCCAGCCACCAGAAGCCAAGAGGCTTCCATCTTGCCATGATATTCTGGTGTGCGCGGTCGCCGCCAAAGGAACTGTGGCCTTGCACAGGGTTTGGATGATTCTGGGGGTGGTCATTCGTGCAGCAGCAGCGAGATACAGCTTTTAGCTCCAGGAGGAAAAACTGAAATCCAGGGAAGTCGTAGGGGGCGGCAGTTCAGAAGGAGCCAGCCTGTGCAAAGGTCCTGATGTAGATGCCAGCTGAGATCGGCAGGTGGTATGGCTGAGAAGGGGGCAGGCATCCTGCTGAGGAGCTTTCCTAACCGAGGCTGCACCTGCTCTGCCTATGGGGGCCTTCCTGCCTCAACCATGCCTCTCCTCCTAGCTTTCCTGCCTTCTCCCTGACTTGTCAGCCAGACTTTGTTATTGAGAAAGAGAACCCTTTACTTTCCTGCCTTCCTTTCTGGGTTTTCCACTGCACCCTAAGTTTTTTGTTTAAGATTTTTTTTTAAGATTTATTTATTGTGGGCCCAGCGCCGTGGCCTATTGGCTAAAGTCCTCACTTTGGACGCTCCAGGATCCCATATGGGCGCCGGTTCTAATCCCGGCAGCTCCACTTCCCATCCAGCTCCCTGCTTGTGGCCTGGGAAAGCAGTCGAGGACGGCCCAAAGCTTTGGGACCCTGTACCCATGTGGGATACCCGGAGGAAGTTCCTGGGTCCTGGCTTTGGATCGTCATAGCATCAGCCGTTGTGCTCACTTGGAGAGTGAATCAGTGGATGGAAGATCTTCCTCTCTGTCTCCTCCTCTCTTTCCAATATTGGAAAGTCAGATATACAGAGAGGAGGAGAGACAGAGAGGAAGATCTTCCATCCACTGGTTCACTCCCCAAGTGACTGCAATGGCTGAAGCTATGCTGATCAAGAGCCAGGAACCTCCTCCAGGTCTCCCAATCTGATGCAAGATCCCAAGGCCCTGAACCATCCTTGACTGCTTTCCTAGGCCACAAGCAGGGAGCTAGATGAGAAGCGAGACTGTTGGGATTAGAACTGGCACCCAAATGGGATCCCAGTGCGTGCAACGTGAGGACTTTAGCTGCTAGGCTACTGTGCCAGGCCCTACAGTCCACATTTAGTGAGACTTCGAATACCCCCCAAAGAATGAAACTGGAAGCAGGTCAATGAGGAAAGTGACGCTTTCCTGCCCAGGCCGAGAGCTGCTGTCTCCTGTCTGCCCTGTCTCCGGTTCCCTGCACCTGTTGATTAATCCCCTTACGGATTATGCTCTGCAGTAGTCAGGGGGAGCCAGCCTGGTCATGGAGCCTGTGCTGGCTCCCCAGCCTGTCAGATGTCCTCTGGCTGTCAGCCCTGTGGCCCCCACAGCTCACCCACACCCTCACTACAGGTCTCCCAGAGGAAGGTCTCCTGTGATGGCTGCATCTCTCTGTGCCCTTACTGCGCTCTGGCCTTCATCGCGGCTTTCCTTCCTGCTCTGCTCTCCATCAGCCATTCATCAGGCCTGAGCCCAAGAGCTGCTGCCTCCTTCAGGAAGCCCTCTGGGATTTCTGCAGCCCACTCTGACTTGTGCCCTTCTCTGAACTCCTTTAATTTTTACTGTTAATGTTGTTGGATGTAGTACCCCATAAATGTTTGGGAGGTATTTTCCACTAAGGATTTCCTATGTGCAAGTTATGTTTTACCTGCCATGGATGATCTTGAGTTGGGCGGTGGGATGGGTGGAATGGCTGTTGGTTGGCTGAGCGGTCGGGGGGTTGGTCTTGTGGTCTCTAGGAGCTTGGTCCTGGGTTTCCACCACGACAAGGACCCTGGCCTGACTTCTAAGCTGTCCTTCTTCAGGAAGACTGATGGGCATGGCTGCAGAAGAGTGGGAAGCAGGGGTGAGCAGACATCCTTGCTATGGGAGCCAGGATCTGCAGCACTGTTTAGCCAGGTTGCCTCACTGAGGGCTTCCTATGTGTACAGACTTGACCATCCTCATCTCCGGGAACAAATCAGTTTGTTCTCTGCCTTTGCCCACCCTGAGCTTGTTCAGGGTTTCTGGGAGCTTCTACCTCCAGGGCTGGTGCCAGGAGATGCAGACAACAGCATGCTGAACGGCTGACCCATCCTAAGCTCAGAGCCATGTGGATTAATGAGGCTCACTCAGCTGGTCTCAGTGTAGGAGTTGCCCAGCTCATTGGGCTATGCCTGCAGCCTGTCCCTGAGTGCCCGGGTTTGAGTCCCAGCTCTGCTTCTGACAGCAGCCACCCATGCATGAGCCAGGCTGGAGTTCCTGGTTCCTGCCTTCGGCCTGGTCCAGCCCTTGCTCATGCAGCTATTTGAGCAATGAACCAGCAGATTCTGTCTCTCCCTGACTGCCAGTCCCTTTGCTTTGCAAATAAATCTTACAACCAAAAAAACCCTGAAGGTACTTGGTACTGCATTGTGACGGATGCATCACCACTTTCTATCCTTCTCTGTGAGTATGATTGTGCTTCATGGTTTCTTTTCCCATTACACAAATGGAACCACACTGTAGTTTCGTTTTACAGCTTGGTTTTTCACTTACAAAAAGTCTGGGCACTCTCGCCACGTAATTACTATTCTGTTCCCCCATATGGATTATCACTTTCCTATGTCGCCAGTCTCTCTATTGGTGGGCCATGCTGCCGATAACAGCATCTGGCCATGTGCAAAATGCCCACACTGCCACAGGTGTGTCCTTGGTTGTGGCAGTCTTCGCTGAGGTAGAAGCTGAGAGAGAGTAGCCT